CGTCGAGCCGTTGGTGCACTTCATCTTCCTCGTCATCCTAAGCTGGGAAAGGAGTGTCTGGCTCGTAGTCGACTTCCTCCAACCCCTCGACGAGGAAATTTGTCTCCCAGGACGGGCGCGGTGTGTTGGATTAAGTAGCCGAGAGCTTGGTATGTAGTTCCCGTGAAGCCCGGGTCGTACTGCCCGGAGATGCTCTCTATGCAGCTGAAAATGAAGGGCTTGCCCCGCTACCAACTAGGCTGGGTGTTTTGTGTATCGTAGACACAGTGATCATAGAGCGGAGAAGGTTTAAAACTGTTTTTATGAACATCAAGGTGACTCAGACACGCGAGCCTCGTATGAGGCGTCCGTTTAATGTGAATTGAGTATATTCATATTTTTAATTGGGGAGTGTAATGGGCTTACACGTGCCACCGTACATAGGTGTGTATTACACACTTAGTATATAACACAGTGGTGTGGCTACACCAAAAAGAAAAAGCCACCACAGGATTACCAGTAGTAATGCATATCACTAAATTAATTAGGTTTGTTAGTTTAATTAGATATTACTATATTAATTAGGAAAACAGAGGGCTTTAAATGTTGGCGGCTCTGCCGCAACTAAAACAATTAAATACAGTTCTCGTTTTCGAACAGAAGTGTTCGTTTGCCTTGGTAAAGCTTTAGTACATAGAAGTGGCGGATTGCGATCCGCTACACTTGTACTGGTTCTTCGAAAGAACGTAAGGTCGGTGACCTTAGCTTTGCTGTCTCTAACCAAAGAGCTACGACAGCCCCGCTGCACGCGCATTGATCTCTTGAGGTCCTTGTGAGCGAGGTGTTGCACGTCCTCAGGGCCGAGCAGAGACATCAGATTTTTGAGCCCGTCCATAAGACAGCTATGTGGATTGTATTGAGCACTCTATCAAAACCACAGTTGTATAACAAACGTATGTTTGGGAGCACAGGTATTTGAGGAACAATGAAGAGTGGGAACACGTTTATTTCAAGAAGGCAAAGCTCTACCCGACGGATGTGATTCGAAATTCATTCTGTATATACTACATAATTACGTCTTGGCCAAGTGGTGCTGACGCGGTCGAGGAATAGGTGATACTTCTATTGCACTGTTATTATTAACGGATTTTTACGAATAGAAGACCTTCTACTATTACAAACCCCCATAGAATTTTCGACAATGTTCTAGAAATAAAAGACCGCCTCGATTAAAAGACCTTCTCAAATAAAAGGCCGCTGTAG